GGGCCGTGGCGCCCCCCCTTTTAGCCAGCTGTCAGGGCGAGCGGGCAGGGGAGGGTGGAGAGAAGTGAGCACGCGGCAGGGGCGTGGGGGGAGTTCCGGTGTAGGGTAAACTGAGGCAGTCCAGGATATTTTGCTAAAACCGACAACTCAGATCCAAATTATTAGGCCAGCCTGGGCAGCGCACAGACAGCAGTCACCGTGACCCTGGTTCCCCTGGCAACTACACTCCAAAGGGGCCTCACTCTGACGAGGCCTGGCTGGTACCAGCCAGGCTGTGCGGGTCTCTCGCTGTCTCCTGTGATTTCAGATTAATGAGCTTGGATCCCAAGGACTGTGCCAACACAAGGATGGAGTCACCTCGCAGTAGACATCACAATTTCAGCTCTCAAGCTTACAGCAATATATCCATTCTGGGGACGTCCGGCCTGTTTCTGTTGGCTCATTTAGCTTGTTAGGAATAACTCCCTGTATTAGTGATCACATTTCATTGGCAATGGGCAGAGATATGGGTAACTTTTGTAGTCATTGGCTTATGTGCATATCTCACATCCGCTGCTAGACCTATCAAATCACTGCTCCGTCCCTCTGCTACCTATAGCATCTAATGTATGTTTTGGTTAAGGTAGTGCTCACAGACTCATAGGCTGTGTCTACACTGGCCCCTTCTTCGGAATAGCCATGCTAATTTAGAACTTTGCAATAGGGAAATGTGCGGGGGATTTAAATATCCCCCGCGGGATTTAAATAAACATGGCCGCCGCTTTTTTTCCGGCTTGGGGAAAAGCCGGAAAAGAGCGTCCAGACTGGCGCGATCCTCCGGAATAAAGCCCTTTTCCGGAGGATCTCTTATTCCTACTTTCAAGTAGGTGACACTGGCGCCAGTGATCCTACTTGAAAGTAGGAATAAGAGATCCTCCGGAAAAGAGCTTTATTCTGGAGGATCGCACCAGTCTGGATGCTCTTTTCCGGCTTTTCCCCAAGCCGGAAAAAAAGCGGTGGCCATGTTTATTTAAAGCCCGCGGGGGATATTTAAATCCCCCGCGGATTTCCCTATTCCAAAGTTAGAAATTAGCATGCCTCTTTCGAAGAAGGAACCAGTGTAGACACAGCCCAGGTGTATTGGCCTACTTGCTGTTTGGGTGGATATTGTATAAAGAAAAACTTTTCAACTTATTCTGTCCCCATGTTGTGCACTTTGGACTTCTGCAGGGGTGGGCAAATACTGGCCCACATGCCGGATTCGGTATGGCAGGGTTAACTCCTGGAGAACTCCCACTCCACCATCCTTACCTGAGCCTCTGCATATACAAGGGATCACAGCTCCCATGGCCAATGGGAAGTACATTCACCATACCTACAGAGGTGCAAGTAAATATAATGATAGCAACCTACCGGGGTTAACCCTGGTGAACCGCCATTGTTTTATTGCCTATCACTGAATTAGTGACTTTTTTAAACTGAGTATGCACAGATTATCTGAAGAGAAACTTTGTGATATCTGAAGAGACCATCTCTTTTATCATAAATCATCTTCCTTCTGATTTATTGTTTGCTGAGCCCCACTGAGGTCCTTGCTCCAAGAAGCTTAGACTTTGTGACTTCTAAGCCCTGATCTATACTAAGGATGTTAAATGACTAATTGTGCACTCAATACAATTTGTATCAAGTATATGATTTGTTGATAAGGGGCCGCTGCAGCTATGCAGTTTAAATATAGTAGGAGCAGGACATGCAGGCAACCCAACTCCTACTGTACTTAAACTGCAGAGCCACAGCAGGAGTAAATCCAGGACCCAGCACAATCTGGGACTGCTTCAGTCCTGTCTCATGCCAGGTCCCGTGCTGCATCTCTGCCTTTTAAATGAAGTAGAAGCTACCCAGCTCTTACGATATTTGAAAGGCAGAGCTGCAGCGCCACTGAACCTCTGCCTCCCTTACTCCCTGTTTTAAGCTGGCTCCCCGCAGCACCGGCTCCTGCTCCCTACCTTCCTACTTCAGCAAGACAGGGGCGGAGGAGGGGGAGAGGCAAGTAGTCAACTCGATGACTCTTTTATATCCCCAGTAAAGAGTTATTTCAAATTAACTCCCCTTATTTTGAAATAACAAGTAGAGCATCCATACTCTCAAACCCATTTTTTTTT